ATTCAGTTTTTTATTCAACAAGTTTCCTTTTTATTTTAGAATTTTTTGATAATTTTTGAAGAATAATTTTCTTTCTCTTTATGTATTCAGTATCTTTCTTCACCATGTTTCCTTTCCAAATTAGAATTTTTGGATTTATTTAAAGATTTCTGTTATTCTAAAAAACTAAATGCATTCAGAATGTACAGAAAAAGCTGCTAATTTTATTTCTTTAGTAATATGAATATTCAGAAGAAATATGAAATATATATGGTAAGGGCTTGGTTACAGAGCTGGTGTGGCAGAAATTTTAGAACTTAGTGACACACCGATCAACAAAATCTAGAAATGATAAAACTTTTAGAATTCAGAGCAGGTATTGGAAGCAGAACTTAGAAAGGCACTAGGCAGGAAAATTTAGGATCCACAGAGATTGCATCAGCTGGGAAAATGCCTAGCACCAGCCATGTGTATGATGATGCATTAAGACATTAAATGAACGTTTTAAATTGTCAGTTTTCAATTTCTTTATAAATAAAAAAAAAAATCCTTCGTATAATGTCTGTCCATGCAACAAGTTTAGAAGCATTTCTGATATTTTCTATGCTTGTGTCTAGTGAAAAGTAGAGAAGATAAAGGGAAGATAAACATGTTAAAAAAAAGATTCTAGTATCAGAAGTAAAACATTAAAATATTATGTTTTCATTGTTCTTCTCGACATCCTCCCCCCAAAAAAAATCCATCGCAAACTTTCTGTAAAATACATCCATTATGTGTTAATACCATGGAGATATTTTTCATTTTGTTACATTTTTCTAGAATTGCAGGTATATAAATCTTGCCTTCATATCCTTCTAAAACGTTCCAAGCTGCAATGTCTAAAATCCCAGAGAGAAAATACCCCTACCAATTCTGTAATAGCAAAAGGCCTGAAATATTTTGGGAAAAAAAACAGACGAACAAGTATTAAACTAATTTTATAGAGAAAACTGATACATGCTCAGAGAATTCTAAAACAATTACATGGGAAAAAAATCTCACCATGAAAAAATTTTTTTAAATTAATTATATGACTATCTAAGAACTGTTTCATAAATTGTGCTTTACAGCAATATACCTTATTTTTCAGATTCAAAATATTGTATAATAATTGGCCAAAATGGAACTTTATGATATGTCAGTGAAAAAAATGTTTTATCTTAATGCTATTTTTTAAATATAATTTCAATATATTACCATCATCAAAATGTTGATAAATCACTAAATTTAGGACCGTTTAATAAAAGAATTCACATCCCCAAAAGCGAAAAGTTGTTTAAGAGCTCTTCATCAGAAAAAATTAAATAATTTTGAACAACTTATGTTTCACTCCTTGTTCAGAAACTCTAGTATCTCACCATTTATACTAGAAATAGGAACAAATTATAATCTATTGAACCCATTCAAAAGGAAATCATATTTGTCAGTAAATTGCCTAAAATATGCTTCCAAAATGCTAATTCACACTCAAAATGGCTGTCGTAAAAACAGACAGAAATTTCATATGAATAAAATTAAGAGCCTTCTGCTGATTTTGGCCAAAATTAAGGACTTTTAAAGATCAAAAGTTGATTCTAAAAAACCTAAGGACATTTAAGAACTCTTAAGGGCCGTGCGAACCTTGTTCAAATAATCCAGTTCAATTTCCACATGTTTCTTCAGCTCACTTGTGATCAACACTTGACTCAACAAATTGGGGACCAGCTTAGTGCACATGTTCCTTCAGCTCACTCACGATCAACACTCGATTCTCAATAGTTTGGGGACCAGCTTAGTGCACACTTTTCCCATTCTCGTGTAACGATGTGTGATGTACAATGGTTTTTTGAAATGGTCAGCGAGACAGCTAACAGCCAAACACTTTTTTTGACAGTAAGCATTTAACAACTCATGCACATGAGACCCATTTTTATCAGTTTGGCTTGTTGATGTCTCTTCAGAGTGGGAGTTACAATCCACCTCTTCTTGGCCCCCTTAAAATTCTTCATTCACTGCACAGCTTGCACATACAAAAAAAGAAGATTCCTGTAGGCTTGTTTAAGCAGTTCCTGAGTTTCTGCAGCTTTTTTGTCAAGCTTTGTGCAGAACTTAATCATCCAACATTATTGAAGAGTACCTGCCACGACAGACATGTCTCAAAATAGGGGTGCATTAAATAAGCGATCATGATGCTATTGAAGCTTGGTGCAGACTGACCTAAGGCACGATGCAAAATTGAGGGTCCTGCTCATCTAACTTAACATGTCTGAACATGCTGCGACACCTGATAGACCCAGTATAAAAATATATGTCATGAATTTTAGGACCAACCTCATATATATATCAAACCTGCAAGCCTTGAAATCTTAAAAACCAGGAGAGTTTTGTAAGAAACCGGGATAAACTGGGAGATTTTTCAAGCTGAGCAGCGACATGTTTTTAAATGAACTCCAAACTGACTTTAATTCCCTTTATAGTGCATGATTCCAGTTACTCAACTATTTTTAATATAATTCTGATGTAAAATATATTAAAATTTAATTAGATATTCTAAATTTTATGTTTATTGGCTAATTTCATTCTTTAAAAATTTTCTTATAATTTTATACAGAAAAAATAACAAATTCCAAAACTTTATTTATCAAAGTACTTTTATATATGATGAAAAGAAAATTCATAATTAATGTACACTGCGCAAAAAAAAGGGGAGAACAGTTCTATATCTCCTGTTTTACTGGGCTGATTGGCGAAATTCAACTTTTTTTTTTTGTGTGTCTTGAAAGCCCGACTTAAGATATGTATTAGATTCATATATAACATTGTTCTAATATAGGCATTCTGACACAAAATCGGACTTTTTCTGAAATGACATGCCATTTTTTTTCCATATTTCGATTCGATGACTCAAATCATGCCACACTGCCAAATTTTGAAACAATCGTGCAAGTAGTTTTAAAAAATTAGCTCTCAAAATTTTAGCACCTCAATGCCAGCTGAATTTTATATATTATCTCTTTTTTTTTTTTAATTAAACTTACCTGATTCCTTCCTTCAGAATTTGAAATTTATGTTCATTCCAAATAAAATTCTCCCTTTTTTATGATTTATTTTTTAAATTTGTATTTTTAAATATTTCTTATAAATCTTTCAAATCAAATTTTGAATTATAACCTATAAAATTTTTTACCATCATCTTAAAGTAGATGTATTTCTAAGCATACCTGTAAAAAATTAAAAGTTTTTTATTAATAATTTCATAGGATGTATGTGAATTTACATATTGGCAAGTTTTGAAACTTAGTATAGTCAAAAGTCGTTAATCCAGACTCGTCGGGACTTAGGCAATTCCGAATTATAGATCATCAGTTTAAATCTGGTAAGATGGCATGCAGAAATTATAAAATTAAAAATATGAAACCATAATTTATGAAATAAAGAACAATTATGATCTAAAGGGCATCAAAATTTATAAAAAAAAAAAAAAAAAAAAGCTTAATATTTATTTCTGTACTTTATTAAACATTTCTTTCAATGCAAGTTATTTAAGTTGCTTCGTTTTTTATGTGATAATACATTCTCTTTAATTCTATAAACAGATATAATTTCTTCTTCAGTTACAAAGTTCCGCTGTTCAAGTCCTATAATTGCTGTGTTGAGAATACCGATTAATTTGTCAATCAAAATTTTTTCGTTTTCAATAACCTCTGTCACTTTCTTCGCTATTGGAAGCAAATTATAATGACGAGGAATTTGATTTAAATCATATCAAAGACAGAGTACATCGAGATGAAATACTACATTTAGTAAAGAATTATAAGCCAAATAAAATAAAAACATCTGCTCTGAAGATAAGGATAGTGCCGACAGATCTACTTCCGATTCATTGTGCGCCACGGCATTAAAGATAAACAAACGTTAAAGTTTAGATAAACAAAGGATATGCCTTTATCCATTTTTTGCAGCAATTCCACTTTTTGTTTAATGGACTTCGAAACATACTTTCACTTTGTAGATCCTTTACATATTAGTAAATATATATCAGAAATTCTATTTGACATAATTGAAAGTTCAAGCTTACTTTTATAAAATTGCTCTAACAGTCTGCAAAAATAATAAGTCGAATCCAATTTGAAGATTAAGGAACAACGCAATCTGCAACATTAACTGAAATAGATAATTTTAGCTTAGCTTATACCGTCCGTTATCCATTAAACGTATTTTGCGCATGCGTCAACTTTATGCATGCGCAGAAACTTTGTAACTTTGAGGTCCGGATTATAGATCATTCCGAATTTATGGGTGTCCGAATTAACGACTTTTGACTGTATATTTGCTATGTCCAAAATTAATTATTTTCTAGCTTTTGATTTAAAATGAAAGATAATGTGGTCTTTTCCCTTGAACATTTATTTAAAACCAATTGTATGGTACCTAATTTTTCAAATTTTAATGCAATGCTAGAAAAACTCTCTCAGCATTAAATATTACTGTATTTATAAATCTAAATTAATATTTAGGGGATGGGATAGTTTATGAAGTGGGCAAATTAATAAATTATGAAGGCAGAAATAGCAATGTTTTGAAGGCTCAAATTATAAAAATAGTATCAATCATTAGACATTTAAAAGCCAAAGATGCAGCCTCATTCGAATACAATAACAATGAGAAAGTTTAAAAAAAATAAACAAAATATGACTGAGAGGTACAAAATTAGTAAATACAGTTGGAAAAATGGAGTCAGTGCCTAGTTCACAGCAGAATTACTACAAACCTTCATTCTGTACGAAGACCATATATACATATGAGCATAATTATTTAACATTACTAGTCTTTTAAAATTTTATGCTTTCTATTACAGTCTACAAATTACACTTCAGCAAGTATATCATAACTGCTTGTATTTTATAAAACATTTTCTGACACAAATTACATTATAATATATTATGCAAATTTAATTATGTTATTTAACTTCAGTATCAAAATAAGAGAAAAATATTTCTTACTTCTTCAACAGCTTTGAAATCACAAAGTGTATCTATAAATGACCCTTTTTCACTAGACTTTACCATTAGTATATATACTGAATCATTAACCCTTGCCCTTCCTTTTGATTGGATGTAAGCTCGAAAATTTTCCGGTGGATCAAATCGAACGACTAAATTACATTTCGGTATGTCCATGCCTTCTTCAACCACTGAGGTGGCAACTACAAGATTATACATTCTAGTCCTGAACTTCTGTAATACTTCCTCCTGTTTTTCAAATCTCATTAAAATAGTCTTTAAACCTCTATTATTCTTTCCATGTCCAATAATATAACTTGGTGACAAGAAACTGAAGTCAGGATGGATTTCTTTTACTGCTGATAACCATTCACTTAACAAAAAAGCAGTAATACGTTGATGCACAAAAACTAAACCACAAAGAGATTTGCCCTCCTCTGATGCAAGATTATTTTTTGATAACCTCTTTTCTTTGATATCATCTTTGCTGATTTTATTGCATGTAATGTTACAATTTTCACTCTTTCCAGACGATAAACTTTGTACAGAAGTTGGAGGATCTTCACTTTGCATATTGGAATTAATAATTTGAGTACTACATATTTTCTTTTCTTGCTCGTTAGAAAAAGAAGATTCTTCTGATGTAACATTAGATGATGTTTCTATGGTAGGCACACTTACAGGTTTATAGTATTTTAAAATTTTAAGTAATTCTTGTAATTTAGGAGGAGCCTTATTAATTAGCTGAGTAAGTAAATCACAGTCATTTAAAATAGTTTGAAACTGCACTTCAATAATCAATAACACTGTCCTAGCAAGTATAAGGAAACGTATATGATCTTCTGAATATATAGACTGTAAGGTCATATTAATTTCTTCAATGAAAAGTTGTGTAGCTTTTAGAGCACACCAAGGACCAAGATCAGTAATGACATGAGCTATTTCTATTAAATATCGTCTAGGTTGTCTGCATGGATGAGAAAGAGAATTATCAATATCATTTACAATATTTACATTATCTAGAAATACTAATGCAGATTTAATATGTGACATCACAGATACTAAAACTGATTCATCATCTAAACAACTGTTGAACTCCACTAAATACTCTTTAGGTTTAGAACCATATTTACTTAAAGCAGTCAATTCACTAGCTGTTTCAACAGATGCTTTTAATACTGTTTCAAGGCGCTTTATTTCAAGCTCTATTCTTGAAGGCTGACACTTCCTATTTATCAAACAGGCACTAAGACCTAAAATCCGAGGCTGATTTAAAAAAGAGCAAACATCAAAGCACGTCATTATTTCACAGTATGGGTGATTCCCAACTGCTCTGTGGCATTCATCAAATATTATGAGATTTATCACAGAAAGAGGCAAAAATCCATGGAAAAGAATCATTTTAAAAAGATCGGGAGTCAAAACAATAACTTGATTTCTTTCTATTTCACACAGCCAACTTTCTTTTGACCAGTTATCCAGTTCATTTCCAAAGTATTGTCCAACTGTTAAATCTGTACAATCTCTAATTACTTTAGCCTGTTGGCATATCAGAGGCACTGAAATAAAATACAAATAAATAAAATAAATATTTTTTTCTACACAATACACAATTAATATATGCAAATTTAAATCCACAAAATAATCATAACTTACAAATGACTACAGAAGCGAATAATATTTGATATATATGCAATAATACATTTCATTTTTTCATATAATCCTCACCTACAATAAGACCCTTAACCAACTAATGTAAGATTGCCCTGATACATTTTACATCCAAGTCTAAGTTGCTGCTGCAACTACTACAGACACATTGTTCGATGTTTCCATCATCAATATAATATGCAAGAGTTTTGAGAGAATCAAATGAGTGAAAATCACTTAGGCTGAAATGAGACTACACAAAGGCTGTTGAAGAACTTACTACCAAATTCCATAAGTCCTTATTAAGCTGACCATGCCACATCAGGCCTAACATTATTGAGATAGAACAATACATTGTGATTTAGTAAGCTGGTGTTTTCTTTTTCTTTCCAGCAAACTCACGTAATGCTGCTCAAAGCTGCAATATTACACCGTAGTTTGATGTAGCAGGCATTTTTGCCCATTACCTCTAACACATTATGAGTAGCATAATAAACATATCACATCCCATTGCTTCTTGAATGTACACTGCGGGAAAAAAAAAAAAAAAAAAAAAAAAGATGGGTCAGTTCTATATCTCCTGTAATACTGGGCCAATTGACGAAATTCAACTTGCGTTTTTCATGTCTCAAAAATGCAACTTAAGAAATGTATTAGATTTATATATAGCATTGTTCTAATATAGGTATTTTGACACAAAATTGGACATTTTCTGAAATAACATACCAATTTTTTTCCATATTTTGATTCTACGACTCAAATTACGCCACACTACCAAGTTTTGTAAAAATCGCATGAGTAGTTATTAAAAAATTAGCTCACAAAATTTTAGCTCTTCAATGCAAATTGAGTTTGGTATATATTTATTAATTTTTCTTTTTTTTTATTAAGCTTATTTGATTCTTCCTTTCATATTTCGAAATTTAGGTTCCTTCCAAATAAAATCCCCCATCGTAAAAAATATTAAATAATTTTTATAAATTTTTCAAAACAGTTTTTGAATTATAATCTATAAAAATTTTACCATCATCTTAAAGTAGACGTATTTCTAAGCATACCTGCAAAAAATTACAGTTTTGATTCAAAAATTTCCGAAGATATACAAGAATTTATATATTAGCGCGTTTTGAAATTTGGCATATTTGTTGAATGCAATAAAACGTCAAATGTGGTTTAGACACTTTGCTAAAATTATTTGGAAGTAGAAGTGATGCAACTTTTTTTCCACTCATGCACAATGTAAAAAGGTACGAACGAGATGTATTTTTTTCCACTCCAGCATAATGGAAGGGAAAGGAAAATTGGTTGCCACATATTAAGAAGTTCGCCAAATGAATTATTCTTGGCGAAAACTGAAAAAGTTGTGCCAAGATAAATTTTTGAATTTCTCCGTAAATTTCACACCAAATTTAATATTTAAGTATAATTTGAGTCGTAGAATCATAATATGAAATAACATATCAATTATTTTCCATATTTCGATTCTATGACTCAAATTTTGCAAGAATGCCAAGTTTTGTAAAAATCGTAAGAGTAGTTTTTAAAATATTAGCTCTCAAAATTTTAGCTCCTAAATGATAATTTAATTTGGCAAATATTTTAATTATATCTGCTTTTTATTAAACTTTTTTCATTTTTCCTTTCACATTTCGAAATTTAGGTTCATTCCAAATAAAATTTACCCATTTTTTGTGTTTTATTTTCTTATTTCTATTTTTAAATAATTTTTATAAATTTTTAGAAAAAAATTTTGAATTATAACCTATAAAATTTTTACCATCATCTTAAAGTAGATGTATTTCTAAGCATACTTGCAAAAATTACAGTTTTTGATTCAAAATTTCTGAAGATATACGCGAATTTAAATATTGGTGCATTTTCAAATTTGGCATATTTGTTGAAAATGATAAAATATCAAATGTGGTTTATGGATTTTTGTTACAATGAATTGCCACAGCTATTTTTAACCTAAAATTTCAAATAAATTTTTACGGAGAATTAATTATATGAAATTTTTTCCCTCAATGATGCATAATAAATATTTATTAATACTATGTGAAAAATTATTATTTTTAAAATTATAGATTATTATTCAAATTTTTAACTTTTTAAAAAATATCTTTCTTTCTTCCTGTTTTTAAAAAAATAGTTGTAAGAGTAAATTTTTATCTTCGGCGTTTTATCGTCTGCTATTTTACTTTAACTTCATTTAAATAGTCTAAAACTGAGAACTTTCGTTTGATGTTTAATTGAATTTTATGACATTAACTGCATAATTTATTTCTAAACAAGCTGTTGCTTATGAAGTGGCTGAAAAAGCGGCTGATGCTATCTTCCATATTTTTAAAGCACCGTATATTTTTATAGAAACATAAGATTTAGAATAATCATTTTTATAAAAGTCAACTTATGATATAAACATACAATCCTGTAGAGACCAAATTAATGGAAGTTCAATGGTTATGTAGAAATGATCTGCAGCTACTTAATGGCTGGATAAGTTAACAGGTTCTGTGGACAAGTAAGAATAATTATATAAACGACACCCAGCATTCTGGATTCAATTACCAATGTGGGTACAATGTTTATTAAATGAATTTAAGAAGTTTTTAAACATTAAAAAATCGACACACTTTTTTTTATCCAAAATGTATTTTTCTGCGCAGCGTATTTTCATTATATACTTAAAATTCTAATTTAGAATGCAATTGTCAAGAACTTAATTCTAATCATCAGCAATATAGTAAGTAATTATGATGGTTATTAATAACTACTCCTTATAAAGTAATTGCCAATATTTGAAAAACTTTCTGTCTGATTGCAAATATTTTTTTATACAAATATTTCTAATTTTCTATTTATCAAGACTGCACAAGATATTATTTATTTGCACTTCAGTTCTTACCGTCAGCTCCAGTAGATGTTAAAAATCAATTATATTTAATTAAGGAATGACCATCTAATTTTAAAAAGAGCATACCGTAACAGCAATTCAATTATTCGTACCGTATCTTTCATGTTCCTCCCGACTGGCAAGCTACATGATTTTTAATGAGTGTTCGGCTTTTTCTAGTAACTTCAACTGGAAATCGCACTTAAATTAGGTTAATTGGTTATTTGGACATAGAAAGAACATGGGACCTATTTGGCTAAGATGCTTTTATAGAGGAACTTTGTAAAAAGAACGTAGAAAACTACGAAAACCAACCATGCAGCCTCGGTTAAACTTCGCAGCAAACACTTAGTATTTAGCAATTGCCAAATGCTAGGCCACTGGTGAGGCTCCATTTAAATCTCCAATTTAATATTTTATTTGTAAATATTTATAATAATGTTGTATTCTTAGACACAAAAAGCAGAATTTAAGTTTTGCTAACTCGTTAGTAATTTACAACAAGTACTTAGTGCAAATGAATATTCAATTTCTTTTGCAAATAATTGTATTCAACTTAATATTCTTGGAATATGAGCTAAAGATGGAATGTTCTCGGAAGATTAAACAAGTGTTTAAATCCAGTTGATAATTAGGTTTATTTTACAAATAAACCTAATATCAAGTTTTACAACCTCAGGATCAAAGCGGTTCCGTAATTGCCCGAGTAGTTGACTTGTAAATGGCTGTGAATTAAGTAGATGACTTTTAATCTTACGTTTTCAGTCAGAAAACGTATTCCAAATGTTTTGTATTGATTCTTTATTTTTCCATAAAAGCGAAACATTTACGCATGGTATACATATAAAGCATAGCTTCAAATTAAAATTTAATAATATACAGAGTGCTTATAATTAAAGTTCCACATTGAAACGGTCATAAAAGGAAAACTACTGGATCAAATGTTATCAAACTTGGTAAGCGTGTAAAGGAGGTCATGGGAATTTATTTTCCACGAAAAAAAGAAAGTTCGAAACCTCACCACCAGGGAGGAATGGCGCTATATGCAATATTGTTAAACAAAATATGGGTCGGAATCTAACTTAACCTTTTGTTACACATGTTTAATGTGTTGCATACCCTTAAAAAACATTGAAGTAAGCAAATTACCATCGATAAAAGTGCACCATCGTGTAAGGGAGAAATTCATCCATGAAAACCACGAATTAGCAATTAGAAAATGTGAGATCGCAAATCACTCGCACAAGTTCGTTCTAGGACACTGGCACAAATACGTGACAGCCGGTAGTGAACGGGAAAATGCTCTGGCACGCCTGCGTGTCGGCCGGGAGGTGAGTGTGTTCGTTGCTGGCATGTAGACGTGACAGTCGACGCGAAGGGGCTAAAACATGAAGATACTAATTCAAAATGCTTTTAATCGATTTGGGCCAAAGAAATCCCTCTTGTTCCATTGCATTCTCCTACTGCATTCTATTGCATAGCAGTCATTCCACACCAGACAGCTAGTTTCATAACTGAACCACTTTTTTCTGAAGAGCAGTCAACAGCTGGACCACCGTGATTGCAGTTCGCTTAGAGTAAATGTTAAAATGTTTTGTGATACATGAATTGCAGTAATGTGGCATTTTAGATACTACGATTTTATGCAGGGCTGGGCCCCACCTCACATGTGTTACACAGTTACTTAGGCAACATTTCACAAATGAACATCTTATAGGCCGACACTTCCCCACTTCCCACCAGACCTCTACTTCTATGACTTTTGGCTATGAAGTTATCTCAAAAGCACTGTTTATGGTGATATTCTAAACAATTTGGTAGAAATGAAAAATGCGATACACCGACATGTTTGTAACATTTCCTGATATGCTAAGAGCTGCTGTTGAGAATGCAGTAAAAGTATTTAACTTGCTTTCGGAAAATGCTGGACACTACATTGAACATGCTTTGTAACACGTTTCGGAAACATTTAAACCGATATTTTCATGTCTTATTTCATTTAACAATATTGCATAC